AGGTAACAAGGCAAGGAAATGTTAAAATTAATAAAGAAAGTATTATACTGAAACACATTACAGTTTTATTAGATTTGGATGTATTAGGCCTATATAATATGTAAGTGCTGCATACGATGAGACACACATTTGGCATGTAATGCTGTTTGAATACAAGAAGGGAAACAATGCCTCTGCAGCCAAGTGTCAAAGATGGTTCAGCAAATTTCGTTCAGGTGACTTTAGCTTTAAAAACTGTGATGGCAGGGGCCGACATGTTGGAATTGATATTGATGCTCTGAAGTTGCTTGTTGAGTCTTACCAAAGGCAACACACTCGTGAAATGGCCTTGAAATTGCATGTCTCTAATGAAACAATAATGTAAACATCTAAGGAATATGAGAAAACTCCATAAAGAAAATGGGTGCCTCATGAACTCTCCGATGATCATCGTTTCCAACGTATGAATGTTGCTTCGTCTCCTCTGACACGTAATGAGCGTGAACCATTTTGGACAGAATTGTCACCGGTGATGGAAAATGGATTCTCTATGCGAATATTAAATGCCAAAAACAATGGCTCAGGCCTAGACAAAAACCACTTTTAACCTAAAAACCTGGACTCCATCCCCAGAAAATGTTAACTTTTAGAACACAATGTCTTCTTTTTATGCTTTATTTTATATGAAACCTTGTTTGGAGTTGAATTAGCATCATAGTGAAATATCTCATGCATCCTAGTATCAGTATTTTCTGTCTCATGATTCTTTACCTTTGAGACCAACTGATGCAAATCTTGTTTGGCATGTGTCCTAAACATGTTGTACCTTGAGATTGCTTCAGCAGCTTCCTTAACTGTATTCATATTGCTCACTCAGATTCCTCTTATTTATATATTGGTGTTACTCTTAGACATCAAAGCTTTAGGCTGCTAAATGTGATTGTCCTGTGACCTACAGGAGGTGCTGTTAGGTTACTTATATGTAGCATTTGTTCTTCAGTTCAGCAGTCTGATAAAAATATTACATGTGATGATCAGCAAAGAGCCTTTGGTTTTATTAGTTTGGATATGGATCAAGTTGTTATAATGAGGTCAGTTCTTTGGATCACAACTTACTGCTTGCCTTCCTTGGAAGTGACACTTAGTTCACTGCTTATTCCAGCCCACCTCCACTTTAATTTAAGGATTCTGGCTATAGGTTATAGTAGAAAAAAGTGTATGACATTTGGAATTAAAATTTAGGAAAGTAAAATGGAATTTGACGAGATTACTGTTATCAACCTCTTCCTCTGTACCAGTTTTTTCATAGGATAAAACGTGTCCACAGTAAAATTTGACAGTTGAAACCAGGCACAAGTTGTGCTACATAATAATGAAGTGTTTGGCATGAGAACACATATTTTCATGAATGAGAAAATGAGAGAAAACTAATCTATGTATAACTTATAAGTAATATAGGTAATTTTCTCATTATATTTTAGTTTAATTGCAAAATTTTAACACATAGTGAAAGATCTTTGTCAAAAATATGTTATTCAATTTTTTTTCTACTGGATTAATGAAATCATACTTAGCAATATTTTCTTTGAATTTAATAACAAATGCAAAAAATATTTCAGTATTTTAAGTTTGAAGTTTTTCAGGAAAAATGATAATTTTTCATGATCTCTGAAAGAATTTTTTTCATTAAAGTTTTCATGAAAAAATTTAATGAATGTTCCATATATGTTTGTAAAATACAAGTTTTATTGCTTCTAGTAGTAATATATGAATGATATGATATCAAACTAAGGCTCATGGTTAAAATTACTCAAAAACCTTGCTTCTACATTAATTTCTTAACAATACATATTGCTCTGAAATACTTTACTATTATACTTATTTTTGTTTGTCTAGAATTCAGCTAATAAACTTCACAAAGAATTCAAAAGCTACCTGATCACAGTTAGAGGTAAGAATTTGTAATTTTATTTTTTATCATTTCCATTCTTCATGTAGCTTCCGCTTTAGTTACTATACAATTTTCAATTTGTATTTCTTTGTTTTTTTCATACTGCATAAAAAAATGATTAATGTATAGCAGAAACATTTAGAAAGACTTAAAATTATTTTCTTCATAAAGTAGTCTATTTATGGAAAGGAGATTATAAAGAACTTATGCAAGTCATAAAAGCTCTATTTTAAGAAACTTTGTGAAAAGCACCAAACAGATACTGCCGAGTTTTCCTTTTTTTCTTTAATAAAACTGGTAATGCCATGTTTGTTCAAAGTTTAAATTGATTTTGTTTTTATTAAAAATATGTTTCATTTTAAAATCACAAAAGCTTGCATGCACTGACAGGAAAAGCACTGATTAAATGGAAGGCCTTCTACAAAAATTATCTGATTTCCTTTGTTGAACTATACTAAAATAACAAAAACTGAAATTAAATTGAGCACTATCTCCTTTACCAAATGCATTTTTCAGCTTGTTAGATTGTAAATGTTGTTTATATATTTATATATATTTGAATGAATCTCTGCAATGTATTTTTCTCGTCTGTATTAAGATATATACAGAACAATTAATGATAAAATTACATAGCATACTTGGATTCTACATTCTCAAATACATATTTCGATTAAAGTATTGTGATAGTAGCCCTTTTTTATTTTATTAAATGTAGAAGTATACATTTGCTAAGTTTTGTTATGCTTTGTTTTTGTAACTGTTGGACTGTAATATGAACTTTGTTCAATATACAGCAGAAATGTGAAATGAATTAATGCATGATATATTTAAAATTCGCTGTTTAAATTCGAAATATATAAGTAACAGTACATGATTCGTGATGTCATGTAACTTTTCAGGACAGTTCCATACCAAAATAAAGTAATATTTTTAAACATAAGTGAGTATATGAACTTGAAACTCATATTGTAAGTAAGGCAGTATTTATTTAGAATATATGTTGCAGAGACTAACTGTTATGCTGCAGTTGAAAGCATAGATCATTTAGGATACCAACAAGATGTAAAACTTGCCGGTTGTCTTTGAACAGAATGGATGAATGTTTACTAACAATTGCTAATATTTTATCTCCTACATGATATAATGTAAGACCAAGAAGAAAAGGAGTTATAAACTTAACCCTTAAGTTACTGACTTTTTCACTTACTGTTTATTACTAGTGGGGTCCACTTATTTTGTCACATTGAGTAATTTTATACTTCTGCTTATCACAGCATTCAGTGTAAGGAGTTGTCAAAACATTGGGTGAAATCAATTATATTTTATGTAAAATACACAGACCCCCAGCAGTAATTAGTAGGACTAATTGCAATATTGATGATGTTTTCATGTACATGTTTTTGTGTGACCCAGATGTTATTAGGGATCAACAAGTTTGCGAATCCACAAGTAAATGCATTAGAAGTTTAGAAAGATTTGTTTTTAATCTGATGGGACCTCATATATACCTTGTTGGTATTTGCAGGGTTAAAGTGAAATTTGAGTGACTGGCTCCATGTCTAGATGCCTTCAGTATGTGTAAAGAACTGATACTATGTATGATAGCGTGTCTTCTTCATTCTATTTACTTTTTGCTTGGCATGGTGTTAAATGCAGAGGTAATCTCACATGAAACATACTATTATTACTCTTTAATCAGAACAGAGAAGTAACTTAGAATGCAATTTTGAATCTAGTATTTATAATAATCACTACATTTCATTATTTCTAATTAGAAACCTCCTTTTAAAAATGTGATATATTACTATGTATTTTTATATTGTTGGTTTCACGAGTTAGCTGTTATTAATTAAGAGAAACTATATGCTGACTCTAACATGAAAATTTCCCCAACAAAAATGTGAAACAGTGATAACTGCTTTAGAAGATCCACAGTTACTTTGAGAATGTGATGAAGTGACTTATATTGGCAAAATGTCAGTGTGGCCTAGTGGTTAGTGTGCTGGGCAGCAGACCAAAAGGTGTAAGAATTCATGCTGCAATGCCACTGAAAACACTGCACATTCAGCTGTGTATGCATTACAAGAGTAACATTTAACTTCATTACTTGGTTGACTTAATGCTGACTGATTGTTACATAGTCCTTCTCTGCTTTCACTTATAGGTTCTTAGAATTGTTAAAACTAGGGTGATAATATGTATAGTAGACATGAGATGTGAATTTGTAAGCTTGAAATCGATATTCATTTGATATTGGTAACCATTTCCCCAAACATTTTCAACTGAACTGTCATGTAAAAAGGACTAGACACATGTAGCCTGTTAACCTTGAATGAATAAGAATACTTAATATTCTTAATCACAGAAGATACACTTTTCAAACCAATTTTAATTTAAAGAAGACCAATTATGAATTCTTTCACATCCTCTTTTTTTTTACCTGTGAATCATTGGAATAATTTGTGAAAAACAGTGTCAAATTACGTAGATGCATATAATTACCCATCATGAATTAAAACCCTTAATATTCTCAAACAAAGCCACTGGAGCTTTCAAATCAACTTTGAATTAAATAAAACCAAATGTGGATACTGGGAACTTTCCCTTTATGCATATATTTTTCTGGCATGAATATAAAAGGCTTGATATTCTCAACTGAAGCACTAGGTCTCTCAAATCAAGTTTATTTTAAAGAAATGTGTTTCTGAATTGTTTCACAGCCAATTTTTCTGGGAATCCCAGGAGTAATTTGTGAAAAACAATGGCATATAGTAATCCATCATGAATATGTAAACATGATAAACCCAACTGGCTAGTATTTTCAGACCAGCTTTAATTTAAACATAACCAACTGCAAGTTCTTTCACAACATCAGTGAATCTGTAAGAAGGTTATTAATTTATAATTACATTTCTTCTTCAATTATTAGTCATAGTGTATGAATTCATCATACTGCAGTTAGATGCTATAAGTTCACAGTGGAGCAGTAGCCAGTTGTGTGTCTGTCTCGTTTTATCCATTCTTGGGACATGTCAATTTTTTCTTTTTTTCTTCCTTGTATAGATTTTGTGAACAATTCATAATGTTGAATGATGTATTCTCCATAACAACCCTCTTGTGATGTTGGGTCTTTCTGGTGAAGAACATTGGATGGAATTTATTTTTGTGTAATGAAATATAACTTTTCACAATTACACACCAAGCCTCTACTTCGCAATTTTTACTTCTTGTTATAGTTTGTGGTTTGTGTCTGTCTATCTTTTAAATTTATCTTGATCAATCTCCCAATAGGACTCCTCTAATTTTTTCAATCCATGTGTGGAATGAATTTTTTTATGTGCACCAGTATCAAGGCAATGTGCGGATGTGCACTACCAGTTTTTTTAAGGAGTGGGGGGGTATTTTTAGACCAACTAGAGGGAAGGCAGCTAGTCATCACCACCCACCACTAACTCTTGGGCTACTCTTTTACCAACGAATAAAGGGATTGACTGTCACATTATAATGCCCCCACGGCTGAAAGGGCGAGCATGTTTGATGTGACGGGGAATCGAACCTGCAGATTGCAAGTCAAGCGCCCTAACCACCTGGCCATGCCAGGCCAGAAGTATGTCAAAAGAGTTGAAGTATCAGATATTAGCAATAGCCTGAAAAAAAAAAGTGAGGGTCCTACAATGAAGCTTTTCAAAATACCAAAACAATTAAAGGAAGGTCACCATTTACAGCCAAAATCAAAAGTGTGTGTGTGTGTGTGTGCAATGAAGGCATGGAACAGCTTTCTGCAGACAACCCATAATGCTACAGTGGGACATTCAGTATTCTGTTGTATACCTATCTTTCAATATTCCCTGTATGGAGAGAAACAGTGTTCCCTCTAAGCTGAGTGGCTACACAACAACCAATCAAGTGCTGCACACTTCGTTATTCTAGCTGCGCACATCCTCAGTAATGGTGAGGAGTCTCAACACGCTGACGGCCTTAATGACCCTGGCAGTCGATAGGCCTAAAGCCCAAATAACCAACTGGTAGCATTGCAAAGCAGCCTAAGGATCCAATAGAGTCGACTTACACTGCTAAATTAGGGATGGCTAGCGCAGATAGCTCTCGTGTAGTTTTGTGTAAAATTCAAAACAAACAGACATACTTGATCAGTAATTTATTGTTTTTCCTAACAAGTTCAGATCTTATCTTTGCATTAAAGATTATGCGTATTGTCTTGAAAAGTGACTTAACAGCTTCCATAGTCATTCAATTATACAGCAGTAAGTAGTAATTTTGTGTAATCATTTGTCATTAGTTTATCTTCCTGCTGAATCATGAACTGCTTTAGTTACATGGGCAGAACATTTATATGTACCACAGTAAACATCTGAAACTTTTTCTTGATCAGCTGGTCTTAAACAGTTCAATGTTTTTGATCGAGGTATGTTATCATATTCACTTTGTTAAAAGCAAGGAGAAAACTTTGTAGCAAAGTCCAATAGCAGTCAGTTTCCAACTGATGTACTCATATGAATGTGTACTTTGATAGTTGTAAAAGAAACTAAATCAACCAGAATGTTATAGCTGGTATAATGTTTTAATTTTTTAGCATCTCTGCAATTGGCAGTTGTGGTGTGTGCTTTCCCTTTCCTGGCAATGTCAATCTTTAGTAAAGAACCATTTTATTTTGTTCTGAAATTCTTGTCAAAACATTTCCTGTTGCATTCATATATAGAATAATGTTTTTGTTTTACCAAAGATATGAGACAAGTATGCTTATGCCTTGTTCTGTTTAGAGATATGATTAGCAAATGTATCAGTTTGTAAATGTTGAATGTAACCTGGATAATTAGGTTTAACTTGCATAAGGAAAAATCAGTTAAATAGAATGAATGTTGAATGCACAAAATATAAAATTTGATTTTGCTATTGTATATGGTAGTGGGCAAATAATAAAAGGTAGACAACACCTAACTTTAAACTTTGTATATGGTAGGGTCTACCTTTTACTATTTGCC